GTTCCAGTCCCTGATTGTCTTGGGCAGGAATGAGCAGCTCCTATACTGGCTTCTTGCTGGTATGAGCCTGAATTGCCTGTCATGGCCTCGTCGCTGTCTATGGGGGAGAGGGACGAGTTTCTGTTTAATACTGGAACAGTGAACCAGCCCATTATTTACCCATGGATGACAACAAGAAGTCGAGCAATAATGAATATCGGATTGCAAGCCTAGAGACTGACCGATAGTCTCACCTATGGAAGATGGCCGAAAGTCTTAATCAATTTTGGCTGAAGCCGAAATCAAACCGAAATTTAACTTTTTGGTTTCGGCCGAAACCGAAATTATGCCGAAAGTGATCAAATGGCCACTTTCGGTGCCGAAACCGAAGCCGAATTTCGGTCGGTCTCAAATAGGAGGCGTAATAATTATTTTTTAAATTTATGGAAGGGTAAATGTAATATGAAAAATGCAGAGTTTGCCCAGAAAATGTTTTAATTTGTTGGTTGTCCCGAAAAAATGTCCATCTATCTTCGTACTACGGTAAGCTGCTGCTGCCCTGGTCTCATGCCATATATGTTGTCGGCACAGAGGCCTCTTATCTCTTAGTTCAAACGGGAAACTTAAGGTATATAATGTTTAGAATTTCAAACACATACATTGCAAGAATTGGTTAAGGTTGGTTTTTTTTTTTAAATTCTTTTAATCTTTACAGCTCAGAAAAAATGCAATGTTAATTGTTGTTTTGTGTGTTTGTAATTGTGTAACACTGATGACGTCGTAAGAATGAACCAAAATATAATTTGAAGTTTTGAAACGAATTGAAAGAATATGTGCATTGAAATATGTAGAAAGATTAATAATGATAATAAATAGTCTGTAATATCACCTTTAAAAAATAAAAAGAATTTAAAAAAACACGTTTTTATTATCTTGGGACATTTTCAGACCAAACCTGGGGAATTTCAACAAATATGAGTGGCTGAACTTCTATGTTTCAAGTTTCCCTTTAGTACAAATGGCGACCCTGCAAAACAAGGGTGCCGGTATAGATAAAAATAATAAATACGACCGACAGTTAAGGTACTTAGATACTTTTTTTACTTTGGAAATTTAACAAGCCTTATTTGCAAATCATGGAGTTGAGCGTTTACAAATTATATATATTAGCACAATAATGAAACATCATTTCCAACTGAAGATTGAATTCAGAAAACTGAGAATGAGAAAGTTAAAGAAATTCACCACATTCACATAGTAGTCACAGTGGAAGTATAGTATTAGTATTAGTAGTCGTAGTATAACAATTAAGTCTATTAATAAGTAATACTACCACTACTTTAGTATTACTAGATTAATCATTAGTATTTGAAGATCAATTAAAATTGATTCAAGTTCATAGATTTTACGGAATTTTCTTAGTCTTGAGTCTTACTTTTACATAGAGGGATGGCTGCGGCTATTTGGACCCGGGTATCAGAAGTGAGAGGTTGGGCTTGGGTTAAAAAAATGTAGGGTTTGTAAGACAAAATTTCGTATCAAGTGAAAAAAAATTGAATGGACTATATGTTTATAAACTTACTTCTTCAGTGTAACTAAAAGAAACTACCACAAATAACATGCAACATAGCCTACCTTTTTAGACTGAATGCTATACTATAGGCTATAGCATTCAGTCTAAAAAGGACCTGGGTACACATAGCCGCTATTGTGTGCATCTTGCCTTGCATATGTTTTTTTTATACCAAATTCGGTTTTGTATGTCAGTCTATGTCGTTGATGTCAGTGAAAGTAGTTAATTTTACAATTCATGTGTTAGTATTTTTCTTCTTAGGTTCACACAACCTTGCATAATTCTCGATAAACCAATTTGAATCAACTTTTATATCATATGATGAGTCAACCCTGTATATTGCAGATTAAGCTTAGGGCTTACACTGCTCTTGTGGTACAGATTATTGAGATGCATGATTTTAGATAAAATTACTACTTACTTACAATGTGACTCGATATTGGTTATGCTATTTACTATGTTAAATTATATAAAACCAAGATTGTGTGTACCAGCTATCAAATTTTTAACTCAGAGCTGATAGAATATATTAAAGAAACAAACAGTTTTGCATTCCAAAGAAAAAAAATCAGCAGAAAATGAGGGGTAGCTATATCTATATCCAAAACTGCTGACTGAAGAATACAATAAACATTATTAAAGTATATGGAAGTACAATTTTCCCTTTCCAAAGTTTCTGTTTTAAACTGTTATATTAAGTTAAGACGTATTCCTCATTTTATTTTCTATATCTAGACTTTGGGGAGATCATGGGCAGTCATCCTTGGAAACTGCAAGAGTTTGCCTTATTAATGCTACTGCTACAGGAACAGAAATTTTAAAAAATCTTGTCTTGCCAGGTATTGTAAATATCATAAGCCTCAATAATGTGTAAAGAGCTTAATGAAATACTTATTATGAATCATGAATAAGATCATTTTTTATTTTGAATTCAGTACGCGCCCTTTTTTACTTTTTGAATTTTAAAAAAATATTCTTGTTATATGTGAGAGTGGGTAATTTGTGTCTATTAAGTGCTCTTACTTTCAGTCACTTCACATTAATTGGATATAATAATTTCAAGCTGCTTCAAAATGTTGCATATTTAGACATAAGCCATTTGTTTTTTTCGTAAATTGCTGAAGATTTTGTTGTTTGGTAACGTTTTTTCTTTCTCGTGCTGTTGAAAACCATTAACATTTATTTCAGGTGTTGGATCATTTACCATTGTTGATGGCCAGAAAGTGCAAGGTGAAGATGTTGGCAACAAGTAAGTTGGACTATAAACCTGCTGGGTAAATCAGCCACAGTAATTGAAGTTTGGGGAAACAAATAAGCAGAAGTTAGATAAAGAGCTAATTTAGCAGTAGTTTTAAAATGTCAGTGTTACTTATAAATAAACTAATAGA